GATGGGATTAAGATGAAGTTACATGGGGTTTCCAGCACAGATGGTTTTGGTATCTACAGCAAGGATTTGGCTGGAGTTTGGGGATGAGGGTGAAGATGAGATTAGGGGGTTAGGTAATTGTTTCACATTGACATGTTGTGAATTATCCTTACAATCAGAATACTGAGAGAATATTTTACTGATCTTGTCAAATAGCATTGTTATCATAAAAGAACAATTCCTCATAATTTTCAAAAACAGAAGTCCTGAATTAATTTCCAAAATATGTCACCATCTTTACAACTTTATATGAATTCTATATCTTACCATAGTCTTCTCATATATTATTTCCATGTCACTGATTGACCACATGATTTCTAAAAAATATTGTTATAATTCATAATTTATATATCATTTTATGAGTGAAACATATATCTATATTTCTTGTACCTGCTGTGTTTATATTTGTAGTTTATAGAATATTGCCACTGTTTTTTCATGGAATGCTATGCAATAAATATCTTATCTTATCTCACTGAGACTCATTGTCATGAGTGACACTGCAATGGGTGAAAGTGCTATTTCTATGAGGTCCGGATATGTGAAGAAACTCAGATGATGTTGTGAGTTCTGTTGCTGATCAGAGCTAGAGTATCTCACTCACTCACTCACTACTCACTCACTCACTCACTCACTCACTCACTCACTCACTCACTCACTCACTCACTCACTCACTCACTCACTCACTCACTCTACTCACTCACTCACTCACTCACTCACTCACTCACTCACTCACTCACTCACTCACTCACTCACTCACTCACTCACCTCACTCCTCACTCCTCACTCACTCACTCTCACTCCTCACTCACTCACTCACTCACTCACTCACTCACTCACTCACTCACTCACTCACTCACTCACTCACTCACTCACTCACTCACTCACTCACTCACTCACTCACTCACTCACTCACTCACTCACTCACTCACTCACTCACTCACTCACTCACTCACTCCAGATTAATTATGGTGAATATGGAGACCGCACAGTGGGTCTTCCAGAATCAATATACATTAAAAACATAAGACATGTTCAGATACTTGTGTAAATTTATAAATTGATATGACTGGATTTTCAAGAAATTTACTTCAGTGTTGAATGACAACACAATCAATGTATAACGCTTTGATCTGTTTTCTCAGAAATGCATGTGGTTGAGACAAAAACATGTGTTCATAGATGTGTTGTTTTTATGAAGTGAAATGTGTTTCGTCCTAAGTGAAATGAACAAGAAATGTACGTGAGTAACCTGGGAGGCTCTTTATTCCATGTTTATCTGCAGCCATTGAGTTGAAACTCCCGCTATCAACAACACATGGATACGTCTCTGGGACAACCCGCTGCACAGATCACAGGAGCGATCAGAAAGTGTATATTTCGACAAGTTTAATGAGTATAGGGTGAAACTGTGGGGATGTTTGTGTTGTCTCTAAAACTGATGCCACTGGCAGAGGCACTCCTTGAGAAATAAACACTGAACAGTGCCAACCATTGTCTCCCAGAGTGGCAAGCGTAGTTTAACTGTAAGAGCATCGGATTGTATAATTTGATATTTAAACTGGTTTTGTTTTCATCGTCTGGTGTTGACATCATTCAAATCTTAATTGGTGTGCCGACATCAAGTTATCACGAAATGTGGTGGATTTGCATTTGTGACGATGTTAAACTGAATGCCTGACGGAAGTTTATGATCCTTGTCATTAGATATGTTGTAAATGATAAATATAAGTGAGCTTCTTGTCCAATATAACAATAAGTATCAAGGCGAATGTTTAACTTGTGCTCAACTGTCTGTGCAGGCAAGGCACTGTTTCCTCCACTTGCCATTTGTTGCCCTTGCTAGATCTCCTGTACTGGTGTAATGATTGACCCCGTGACATGGTATATATGTTGTGGGATAACTGACCCCCTGACCAGGTATACAAGACACAAGATATTTTATTGCATAAACATTCCATGTAGAAACAGTGACAATATTCTATAAACTACACAAAGGAGAAATATAATAAGTCAGAGTAACAATACATATACTGATACAAATGTGTGTAATGACCTAGGACTATCTAGAGATCTAGGTTTGTTTGAAGTGGTATATATGATAGCAGATTATTTCTGGTCTATCTGGTTATTTGTAATCAGGTGGCTAATGTTTTCTGCAGTTGTAAGGCTTCAAAAGTAATTAAATTGAGACAGAAGGGAATTAAATAGGGAGTGTCTTTCATCTGAATATTGAGATCACTTTCCTTGATGTTAAACTTGTCTAAGAGGCAACTGAGTTTATAGTACCATCCAATTTTGTGCTTGGCAGTCTTTATTGATTCATTAAGAGCATCTTTTAAAATGGTATTTGGAGATTGTAAGTTATGTCTGTAGAATTGAACAATGGACTTAATTACTCTGAATATTAGGGGAAATACCCAAGCTCTGCTCTGCATGCCCAGTTATGTGCTTACAGTACGTTTGCAGAATTTCGTTTGTAATTTTTCAGGAAGGAAAGTATCTGTATGTCTCAGCAGAACAAAGTCAATTCCCCAGACTTCACTGGTATATGGTGTTGGAGTATCCATCCCACGTCATAACGGATACAATGGGTTTTATATGGATACAATTTCAAAGTATGAATCTACGTTTAAGTAAAGTGATCCTTAGCAAAGTGTGAGTAGTATAGCATGGGAGTATGTCAAAGGTAACAAGCCTGAGAGGTGATAAACCTGTAGCGCTTATTTTGGGGATAAACTGCTGATCAGGTGAAGAGCTTGCAGGTGCTAAACCAACTGACCACTGACCCTGGGCAGCCACTACTTAAGTAGGCTGGAATGGTCCTCACTTTACATTGAACTTGAATGAAAAAAGCAAAATCTCTCTTTACAGCAAACGGTTATTTTTCACAAATTTAGTATTTTCAACAATACTTAACAAATTGTTTCTGGATGTGTCAGTGAATATTGTATTGATATATTTTGACATCAGTATTGTCAGCAAAATACATACATCAATATATGTGATAGCACATTTTGATTAACTTGAACTATGTGGTAGATCAAATGAACAAATGCTTGAGATGTCTGTCAGTTTAAGACATTGTCAGAATGGCCTTAGTATTTTTGTTGCATGCATATTGAGGAATGAATGAAACAAAGGGTATATTATTTCTTATCATTTTTCTAAACCTCAGTTGTTGACTGTCAACAGATTCAGATAAACACAACAGTAGAAACTGTCTCATGTTCTGGCCGACAGGTCTATGTGTCCCAACTGTTAGAATATACTGTGGTGTAAACAAATATCCATATTATAAATTACATTAGGAATAGTTTTAGCTGTCAGCTTCCTGTAGATTTCGAGTGTTATATTTTTCTCATAAATACCCATCTTCCCCTACCTGTATAGTTTTTCCTGTCAAAATTAATCAAGATCCATCGATCCCACCTGTTACTGTGTCTACTGAGAGTCATTCCGTCACCCCTCAAACCCCCACCCCCTCAGCTTGTCAATTTCATGCTGATAACCCAAACAAAGACACAGCAGATTAGCGGTAAGGTGACACATTCCTTTATCAAGTATACCAAATCCTCATCTTGCAAAGCCCAACCTGTGTTTAATCTCCTGCTTAGCTTTTCACCACATGACATAAGATTACCCAATGAAATCACCATGTTGGCTTTATCTATCTGCATTCCCTAGGTTCTATATGGATTGTAGTTTGTTCCAACCACTCCACTGTGTACTGTGATGTAATATTGAGTAATGTACTGCTTCTCGGCAACTACTTAAGTATTATCAACTGAACCAGACTTCTGTTGAATCCCACTTGAGAGATATGGCTGTGGTCAAGCTGAGTTGTTTTGAACCCCTGATGTTTGGGAAATGTTGGCTTACAGATTACAGATTACCTGTTGTCCTGAGTACATCAGTCATGCAGTTATGAATAATCTGCGATAAAAAATTGATAACATACTGATGGTGTCAAGTTTGATAAGTTTGATTTGTGTATTGTTTGCCATTTGACAAGAAGTTTTTATGAATGTTGAAGATATGATCCCCTAATTGATTTTTGTTCCGGGTAAATACCCAGCATGTTTTTCTTTATGAAAATTGAAAAAACATTTGATCCTGATAGATTATATATTGAAAACACAAAGGTCTGTATGGTGCTACACATGTAAACCCAGGGAACAAAAGCCCCACTACTAGGCTGCATGGGTACAGTAGGTGAATGGTCCAACATGGGTACAGTGTGTGGATGGTCCAACATGGGTACAGTGGGTGAATGGTCCAACATGGGTACAGTGTGTGAATGGTCCAACATGGGTACAGTAGGTGGATGGTCCAACATGGGTACAGTGGGTGGATGGTCCAACATGGGTACAGTGTGGGAATGGTCCAACATGGGTACAGTGTGGGAATGGTCCAACATGGGTACAGTGTGTGGATGGTCCAACATGGGTACAGTGGGTGAATGGTCCAACATGGGTACAGTGTGGGAATGGTCCAACATGGGTACAGTGTGGGAATGGTCCAACATGGGTACAGTGGGTGAATGGTCCAACATGGGTACAGTGGGTGAATGGACCAACGAGTTTGTGGATGGTCCAACATGGGTACAGTGGGTGAATGGTCCAACATGGGTACAGTGTGTGAATGGTCCAACATGGGTACAGTGTGTGGATGGTCCAACATGGGTACAGTGGGTGAATGGTCCAACATGGGTACAGTGGGTGAATGGTCCAACATGGGTACAATGTGTGTGAATGGTGGGTGAATGGTCCAACATGGGTACAGTGGGTGAATGGTCCAACAAGTTTGTGGATGGTCCAACATGGGTACAATGTGTGTGAGTCCCCTGCAGCAAATTATCAAATCAAACTTAAAAAGTAATGAAAGTGAAGGTTGTAGTTTAAGATAAAGTTTAATGTCAACAAAAGCATGACCAGTCAACCTGCACATTCCCAAGATGATCACACCCATCTGATGCTCCACACCCATCTGACCTCCGCACCCATCTGACACTCCGCACCCATCTGATGCTCCACACCCATCTGATGCTCCACACCCATCTGATGCTCCACACCCATCTGACGCTCCACACCCATCTGATGCTCCACACCCATCTGATGCTCCACACCCATCTGATGCTCCACACCCATCTGATGCTCCACACCCATCTGACGCTCCACACCCTTCTGACGCTCCACACCCATCTGATGCTCCACACCCATCTGATGCTCCACACCCATCTGACACTCCACACCCATCTGACACTCCGCACCCATCTGATGCTCCACACCCATCTGATGCTCCACACCCATCTGATGCTCCACACCCATCTGACGCTCCACACCCATCTGATGCTCCACACCCATCTGATGCTCCACACCCATCTGATGCTCCACACCCATCTGATGCTCCACACCCATCTGATGCTCCACACCCTTCTGACGCTCCACACCCATCTGATGCTCCACACCCATCTGACGCTCCACACCCATCTGACGCTCCACACCCATCTGATGCTCCACACCCATCTGATGCTCCACACCCATCTGACGCTCCACACCCATCTGATGCTCCAAACCCATCTGATGCTCCACACCCATCTGATGCTTCCACACCCATCTGACGCTCCACACACCCATCTGATGCTCCACACCCATCTGACGCTCCACCCAACGCTCCACACCCATCTGATGCTCCACACCCATCTGACCCATCTGAGCTCCACACCCATCTGACGCTCCACACCCCACACTCCACACCCATCTGACCCTCCACACCCATCTGATGCTCCACACCCATCTGACACTCCACACCCATCTGATGCTCCACACCCATCTGATGCTCCACACCCATCTGATGCTCCACACCCATCTGACGCTCCACACCCATCTGATGCTCCACACCCATCTGATGCTCCACACCCATCTGATGCTCCACACCCATCTGACGCTCCACACCCATCTGATGCTCCACACCCATCTGATGCTCCACACCCATCTGATGCTCCACACCCATCTGACACTCCACATCCATCTGACACTCCACACCCATATGATGCTCCACACCCATCTGATGCTCCACACCCATCTGACGCTCCACACCCATCTGACACTCCACACCCATCTGATGCTCCACCATGAAACTGGAATACCGTTCAAAGCAGCATGGAGTCCATCTCACACATTCACTTGTGAATTGGGGCGGTGGGGTAGCCTAGTGGTTAAAGCGTTGGCTCGTCACGGCGAAGACCCGGGTTCGAATCCCCACATGGGTACAATGTGTGAAGCCCATTTCTGGTGTCCCCCGACGTGATGCTGCTGGAATATTGCTAAAAGCGGCGTAAAACCAAACTCAGTCAGTCAGTCAGTCACTTGTGAATTCATAATTTGATAAATTTCAAGCTCCTCGTCAGGTTAACATGTAATATTGACATTTTTCATCTGTTGTATAAAGCGGCATGTTCATTTATCTCCCAATATTTGAAGCATGTTTGAGTTTTGATGTGTATAAATAACACTCCTGGACCCTTATTCTCGAAATGTTTGTAGCTCTAAGAATTCTTAACTTTGATTGTATTCAATGTCTTAAGAATGGGCTTAAGAAGGTCGTAGGGCTACGAACATTTCGAGAATAGCTAGCCATGTTCATATATCTCCCAATATTTGAAGCAAGTTTGAGTTTTAATGTGTGTAACTAACACTGCATGTTCTACAAGTGCTTCTGCACCTGCAGCTAGCTGACATCAGAAATAAGATCTTGTCCGGTGTCAACATGCTCTAAACTGAGTCAAACTTCCACTTGACAATTGTAATCCTTAAACGTGAATGTGAGTCAGTATAACACCTTGACAGGTGGAGAGTTGGTACGAGTGCTGGTGGGTAGTTCACATATCCATGGGTACCGTCGAGGTGTCAGATGGAATTCTGTATTTCTTTTGAAACTGATAACACTTTAGATGTATGCTTTTTCATTCAACAGAAGAAAAATAGGAAAGACCAAAATCCAATCACAAAATCACAGACGATAGCTACAAATTATGCTATGACCGAATGCATAGATTGTGACACGAGACATCCACGTTGTGAAGTTCAATAGATGTGATTGTGTGCAGGCCTCAATGCTAAGGAAACATAGCATGATTCATATTCAATGAGTTATTTATTATGTTTGTTACAAATATGCGTATGCACTTCAACAGTCTACTTTGAGATATGTTATAACTGAAACATCTGTATCCTGTGTCTTTGAAAGAGACAAAAACGTAACATGTGAATTGCGTATTATATGAATGGTAATTTCCGGAACCAAGCCTTTCGTGTGCTGCTGTATAGAATGGTGTCAGAGTTGAAGAACACTTGGGTCTCTTTGTGAGTCGGGAATATTAAGGATTGCTTGACTGTGAAATGCAAAAAAATATATTTGGTCAAATTGTATTGATTTCAGTCATGTTTTAACTTGAGCTTGATATTACTGAAATAGCAATTCAATTAATTTGGAAAAATTAGCACTATGTGATTACACACAGCGAGTGAGGTGATATGTGTTATGTCTTACTGTGAAATGGCTAACTAGTCAGCCTTATGACATGGATATTGAAGACTAGAGAATAGCTAGACATTGAAACTTCTGTCATATTGTATGACATTGACAACCTCACAAGTAGCAGGGTATTGAAGACTTTGTGAAAGGCCAGATAAATGCCTCCACAAAATGGCTAGATAATGAAGGTAATGATATGCCTAAATGATAAAAACACTGTCAGATATTGTTAGCTAGATACTGAAATCTAAAATAATGGCTAGATGTTAAAGACACCATCATATGTCGCCATATTGAAATCTGCATGATAGGATTCTACAATGAAGTTTATGTTGTATGGCTAGATGTTGAAGGCTGATAGAGCTAGATAATGAAGATACTGTGAATGGGTAAGATGTTATATTGTCAATAATACTGAAAATAATGAAGACCATATAGAATATAAAGATATTGAAGATTTTATGACTGGCTAGACATAATGGATTAAATGTTCCAACTGATATTGTGCCACTTCAAGTACAACCAAAAATTTAAATTGCATTACAAAGAAAAAGCATATAAACTTGTGAGTATTGAGTTAAAATTAACTTGAAAAATAGCAAAAAACACCTGCCTTTAACAGACCTAAATGGAAAAAGTAATTATACAATTGAACTAATTTATTCAGCTCCCCCTGACACTGGCTCACTGAAACTATACATTCAGCCTAAGTGGGAGACTATCTCTTATCTCACACAAATAACGGGGTATCTGGCAGAGAGAAGTATTTTCAATTAGAGCACTTGATTGTCAGTTTATATAGTAAGTTATCTCGAGGATGTGCAAAGCCTGGTCGTAAGTTCCTGGGAAGGCTGCATGTCTATAGCATGTGTGAAACTTGTATATTGCTATGTGTGTTGGCAGATTGTGTCATTAAAGACTGTGTGTTATCCTTGAAGTAATCATCAGATTTTGTGGTCTTGACAAAAAGGGGATTACAGGGCTAAGTAGAAAATCAAACTGTTTTGCTACATGGAAAATGTGCTTGACATGCCAGAGTTTGGGACAGTGGTTGAATTAAAAAATGTAAACTAGATATTGCGTGTGACGACAGGTTCATTCTCAAGCTGATAGTCAGAAAAATATGGTATGAGAGCATGCTTGTTTGAGTGAATTAATCGATTCCCCAAGATTAGTGAATGAATCATGTTTATAGTGGCTTGTTCAATACCCTTGGGTTGCATAGTAGAGTATTTTTAACCAAATAGATGATTCTGTTTGTAGAACCTTATGTTGGCCTTTGGACAGGTGTCTCATTGTGACATGATAGCTATTGTACAGGGGTCTCATTGTGACATGATAGCTATTGTACAGGGGTCTCATTGTGACATGATAGCTATTGTACAGGGGTCTCATTGTGACATGATAGCTATTGTACAGGGGTCTCATTGTGACATGATAGCTATTGTACAGGGGTCTCATTGTGACATGATAGCCATTGTACAGGTGTCTCATTGTGACATGATAGCTATTGTACAGGTGGCTGATGAAATTATAAGCTTTGTACAGGTTTACAATGCTGCATCCTTATGATAATTTACCTGGCTATGTATTACTTTTACTGTAGATATTTCACTATTTGTTTCAATGTACATGTGTTATATTCTGTAACATTACAATTGAACCCTAATTTCAAAATCTTTAGCTTTGTATTTTCAGATTCAAAAGATATTTTTCAACACTTTCAGTTTTGCAGCCTACAAGAATCACCAGGCACTTAAAGGAGTGCGGAAACAATCAATCCTTCATATAGAACTAAGACTTCAAAGCCTTCCACAGAGCTTTAAGAAAACATGAGTTACTGAAGGTGGAATTTTAACAAGGGAGTGTGTCCATTAGAAAACAAACTTGCCCCCATCCCATGGGCCTAATTAGGAAGACACTGATGGTTGAGAATCTGACATTTGTTGGGATTGGGTCATGGCAAGATATCAAAGCAAATTTATCCGTACATTATTGACACAACGAAGCTTATACCTTTAATATAGGGCTTCTTTCAAATCATAACTGAATAAAACTTCTTACAATTAAATGTTTCAAAATGCAGAAAAATATGTTGATGGGATTGTTTTATTTTACAGACGTTTTTATCTGTGTTTTTTGTTATCTCTCTGTTTTTTATTACAGATGATCTAAGTTGTGTGTGTACTGACCAATATCCTGCTGGGAGTAATGCCATGTATGTGCCTCACAACTTGGAATATACATACAACATTAAGCTCAACAGTGTGTGAACACAGTGATAAAACATGACATAAAGTGGAGATTAAATGTAATTGCAGTCTCCAAATGCTATCAGTTAAAACTATAACAGCATTTTGATGGACTTCATGTCCATAAACAGACACTGAGGTGAGAAATAAATTTTCCGAATTTCAATTACCTGAACACACAGAAATACACAGCTTAAACCAGGCTTATCAAAGCCACAAATAAAGCTTAACTTGTGAAGATGATGTGTTATATGTTTTCAATCCCTTCATCGATCACCTCAACAAATATTGGCAAAGACTAAGTCAGATATTGTGAACATAGCCATTGAAAAGTGGAATAATCCCATGTCAGGTGGGAATATATGGTTAAAGGAATATTAGAAAAACACAATAGAATGACTTGAAGTGCAAGTTTGGGGGTAATCCTGTCAGTGTTTGTGATGGCAGCAGCATATCAACATGTTAGGAGGCTACGTGTGATATATGTAGTTGTTAAGGTACTTCAGATCATTTGGGTTTGTAATGACTGAAAGTAATTGCCTCTCAATCTTACCAGTTGTGTGGGTTGACTGTGGTCTGTAAGTAGTGGGGATATACAGGGGCCATTATGTGGAGAGCATGGATTACGGGGAACTGTACATGCTGACTTACAAAGCAGCTTCCACGCCACAATTTTGTCTTTATCACGTGTTGATTTCCTTTCCACTATGTCAGGTTATGATAAATGTGTCATGCAATATACATTGGATTCTGGGTGACAGCTTTCTGTTTCTGTTACTAAGGCAGTGTAATGTTTGACTGGTACCATGAGGCAGTGTAATGTTTGACTGGTGCCATGAGGCAGTGTAATGTTTGACTGGTGCCATGAGGCAGTGTAATGTTTGACTGGTACATGAGGCAGTGTAATGTTTGACTGGTGCCATAAGGCAGTGTAATGTTTGACTGGCACCAGGCAGTGCAGTGTAATGTTTGACTGGTACCATGAGGCAGTGTAATGTTTGACTGGTGCCATGAGGCAGTGTAATGTTTGACTGGTACCATGAGGCAGTGTAATGTTTGACTGGTGCCATGAGGCAGTGTAATGTTTGACTGGTACCATGAGGCAGTGTAATGTTTGACTGGTGCCATGAGGCAGTGTAATGTTTGACTGGTGCCATGAGGCAGTGTAATGTTTGACTGGTACATGAGGCAGTGTAATGTTTGACTGGTGCCATGAGGCAGTGTAATGTTTGACTGGTGCATGAGGCAGTGTAATGTTTGACTGGTACCATGAGGCCCTGTAATGTTTGACTTGTGCATGAGGCAGTGTAATGTTTGACTGGCTCAGTGACACAGGGCGATGTTTGACTGGTGCCATGTGTTGGGCTACATGATATGTAACATTGACTGAACCATGGTTTGCCCCTCACAAACATCAAAATCATTGTCAGTCCGTACCTACTGCCGAAATGTCCATAAACCTGGCTTAACTCATAATTGAGCCCTCACCCCCACAGATACACACATACAACACAACACAACACAACACAACACACACAACCCAAACACCCACCAACAATCCAGACTCACCCACAACATGACCCAACCCAACCCGACACCACCCATACTATCCGCCAACCTGAACTCCATCCCGGACCCGAACCAACAAAACCCATCTTCAACCTCTCCCCCAGCCGTCCCCAGTCCTGCCCACTGCCCATGCTTCGCCCCCACGGATCCAGCCCCTCCCCAGCCCTGCCCGTTACCCATCCAGCCCCTCCCCCTCCTGCCCATGTGGGTGTTGCAGCGTTGAGCAGCTGACCCTGTCTTTGATCCTGTGGGGTAATGGCCGAGGGTTGGGGGCGACAGCAAATATACAAGTTGTACTGCCACATGTGTGTTACACAGCCTAGCGGCAAGTACTGAAAGAGATTGACATTTGTGCTGAAGTCCAAACAGGGACCACCGGTGAAGATATTGTTATAACATTGATCCATGGGTTTCAGTTCTGAAATATGATGTGTAATCTGTAATATCAACTTTGATATGCAAAAGCTGACATATTGTGATATGCTTGATGTTTGGTACTGAATATATTGAGTCAATTCTTCACCTGTGAAGATTAACACATTCCCAGCTCTGTACATTGCTGCCATGATGTCTGAGTGGCCCTGTGGTGTAGGGTGGCCCTGTGGTGTAGGGTGGCCCTGTGGTGTAGGGTGGTCCTGTGGTGTAGGGTGGCCCTGTGGTGGAGGGTGGCTCTGTGGTGTAAGGTGGTGTAGGGTGACCCTGTGGTGTAAGGTGGTGTAGGGTGACCCTGTGGTGTAGTGTTGCCCTGTGGCGTAGGGTGGCCCTGTGGTGTAGTGTGGCCCTGTGGTGTAGGGTGGCTCTGTGGTGTAGTGTGGCCCTGTGGTGTAGGGTGGCCCTGTGGTGTAGTGTGGCCCTGTGGGGTGTGGTGTAGGGTGGCCCTGTGGTGTAGTGTGGCCCTGTGGTGTAGGGTGGCTCTGTGGTGTAAGGTGGTGTAGGGTGACCCTGTGGTGTAGTGTTGCCCTGTGGTGTAGGGTGGCCCTGTGGTGTAGTGTGGCCCTGTGGTGTAGGGTGGCTCTGTGGTGTAAGGTGGTGTAGGGTGACCCTGTGGTGTAGGGTGGCTCTGTGGTGTAAGGTGGTGTAGGGTGACCCTGTGGTGTAGGGTGACCCTGTGGTGTAAGGTGGTGTAGGGTGGCCCTGTGTTGTAGGGTGGCTCTGTGGTGTAAGGTGGTGTAGGGTGACCCTGTGGTGTAAGGTGGTGTAGGGTGACCCTGTGGTGTAAGGTGGTGTAGGGTGACCCTGTGGTGTAGTGTTGCCCTGTGGCGTAGGGTGGCCCTGTGGTGTAGTGTGGCCCTGTGGTGTAGGGTGGCTCTGTGGTGTAAGGTGGTGTAGGGTGACCCTGTTGTGTAAGGTGGTGTAGGGTGACCCTGTGGTGTAGTGTTGCCCTGTGGTGTGGTGTTGCCCTGTGGTGTGGTGTGGCCCTGTGGTGTAGGGTGGCCCTGTGGTGTAGGGTGGCCTTGCCCTGTGGTGTGGTGTTGCCCTGTGGTGTGGTGTGGCCCTGTGGTGTAGTGTTGCCCTGTGGTGTGGTGTTGCCCTGTGGTGTGGTGTGGCCCTGTGGTGTAGGGTGGCCCTGTGGTGTAGGGTGACCCTGTGGTGTAGGATGGCCCTGTGGTGTAGGGTGGCTCTGTGGTGTAGTGTGGCACAGTGTCCTCAGTTTGATTCACAGTTCATCAGGACTATAGTCCATCACTCTGTCTCATATCCAGTGTTCAGGTACTCAATGAAGAAATGTTATCTACATTATATTTAGAAAATTAATGTTGCGAAAATAATCCTATAAAGTATGACTTCAGCTCTTCCAGATGTAATCTTAAGGTGTGCACAGGTGAGTGGCAAGTGTAATCTTCAGGTGTGTACAGGTGAGTGTCTTGCTAAGTGTAAACTTTTAAAACATAGCAATAGATTATAGTTAAGTACATAAGAAATGACGGATCTCCTCATAGTGCAGGCACCTTTTGTTCATAAATACTGACTTTGTGGGGTGAAGTATTTTGTTATCCCCCACCGCTCGTTTAGAGCGAAGGGGGGAATATAGTATTAGGCTCCGTCCGTCTATCCGTCTGTCCGTAAGTCTGTACGTACGAATTGGAATATCTTAAGAACCGTTTACTAGATTCTTTCATATTTGGTACCTAGGTTCATCACAGTATAAGAAAGGTCCAAGTCAGGTTTGGTGACCTTGACCTTCATTTCAAGGTCACAAGGGGACTTAAACGTTATTCCTGCATGTTAAGCTATCTCCAGAACCGTTTCCTGGATTTTCTTCATATTCAACCCCAAGCTTTATCTAGGGAAGGCGCAGGGCCCAGTCGGTCTTGGTGACCTTCAATTTTGCTGACCTTCACTTAATTTTCAAGGTCAGAGTGACATTTTGAAGATTTCAGCATATTAACTTGCTTGTTATGTTTGTCAGTGAGATACCTCAAGAACCATTCACTGAATTTCTTCATATTTGACACCAAGCTTCTTCCAGGGAAGGCACAGGGCCCAGTCAATTTTGGTGACCTTCACTTAATTTTCAAGGTCACAGAGACATTTTGAAGATTTCAGCATATTAACTTGCATGTTATGTTTGTCAGCAAGATACCTCAAGAACCATTCACTGAATTTCTTCATATTTGACACCAAGCTTCTTCCAGGGAAGGCGCAGGGCCCAGTCGGTCTTGGTGACCTTCAATTTTGCTGACCTTCACTTAATTTTCAAGGTCAGAGTGACATTTTGAAGATTTCAGCATATTAACTTGCATGTGATGTTTGTCAGCAAGATACCTCAAGAACCATTCACTGAATTTCTTCATATTTGACACCAAGCTTCTTCCAGGGAAGGCACAGGGCCCAGTCAATTTTGGTGACCTTCACTTAATTTTCAAGGTCACAGAGACATTTTGAAGATTTCAGCATATTAACTTGCATGTTATGTTTGTCAGCAAGATACCTCAAGAACCATTCACTGAATTTCTTCATATTTGACACCAAGCTTCTTCCAGGGAAGGCACAGGGCCCAGTCAATTTTGGTGACCTTCACTTAATTTTCAAGGTCACAGAGACATTTTGAAGATTTCAGCATATTAACTTGCATGTTATGTTTGTCAGCAAGATACCTCAAGAACCATTCACTGAGTTTCTTCATATTTGACACCAAGCTTCATCCAGGGAAGGCACAGGGCCCAGTCAATTTTGGTGACCTTCACAAATTTTCAGGGTCACGACGACACTATGAAGATTTCAGAATGTTAACCTGAATTGTCAGCAAGACATTTCAAGAACGGTTCACTGGATTTTCTTCATAGACTTTCAAGACTTCCCTTGAATGTTTTTCAATATGCAATTTCTTTAGTACTATTTGTGCATATTTCATACACTATGACATTCATGTCAAGGTCAAAGTCAGTCTTGAAAATATGTGTGTGTTTGAACAACTATAGAGCAAGATATCAAGAGAGGTTGACAGGTCATGTTTTTGTTGACATTTAACTTCATCTTAAACTTTCATTACTTTATAAGTTTGATTTGATAATTTGCAGCGGGGGATTATGTCACCTTAGTGACAATGCTTGTTTTAATTAAGCTAAAGCTTCATTAAAACAAAAATACTTGACCCTCCGAAATTAGCAGAATCCTGATCTTGATTCCAACAGTAAAAGGTAGCGAGATACCTGTAACAGTAGGAGCACTTCATTGGAAATGATTTGGCTGTATAACATGGACAAGTTGTTTTGTTCAAATGAAAGATATTGAACTGATATGACGTATTTGATTTTGCTTGTTTCATTGAAAGATGGAATATGGGAGTCATATTATATTTCCTCTTGCATCAAAACGTCACCACGGGTTTGCTTGTCACTGCTGTCACATGTCGTGTCACTACTGTTATCGAAATACTAGTAAACCTTTGTGAGAAATTTAGTTTTCCATTTGTTTTTCATTTATCTGTCACTATTTGATAAATAAGGATGTTAGGGAAGAAATCTACCAGAACAAATTGTTTTTGAGCACATGAAGACTTGTGATTTTTATGTTTTTAATTTTTACAAGAATGTAAATAGTCAAGTTTTTAAAATATTTTCCAACTTGGTTTGTTTGTACTTGTGTTCCTGCTGACTGAATCAACCGCCTCCTTAGCCCTGTAGGATGGTTAGATCACCTGCCCATGTCATACCAGAAGGTGGTACTTGTTGTTGCCCTGCCTGGTAGTATGAGAATAGAACACGGACTGGCCGGCCTGGAGACAGTATGCTGTGTCTAGGTGAAGTAACCATGTGGAACACAAGCACAGTGTCTCAGTGGGTACACACACTTATACATCACAATTTGTGTGGAATAACCATGTGGAAGGAACACAAGCACAGTGTCTCAGTGGGTACACACACTTATACATCACAATTTGTGTGGAATAACCATGTGGAACACAAGCACAGTGTCTCAGTGGGTAAACACACTTATACATCACAATTTGTGTGGAATAACCATGAACATTAAACCCCATTTCACCTCACCTGACACATTTTGCCTTTTTTGTCATTGTCAAAGTTTGGTAGACAGGAATATGGCTGGTGTATATACACTGTACTGTTAAATAGCAGGTAATATCAACAGGAACTACTCGGCAACTGTTTCCGGGACATGAATAGTCAGTCTCATTGTCTCTCATCCACATTAATTTCCCTTCTGCCAATCCCTTTAGCAAGTCTAGATCTCCTCTGCCTGAATGTCCCAAATCACTGAGGCTCTGTTTTAATTTAACAGGATTTATTGGTTTCTATCAAAATTGTATATTCAGAGACTAAGCTTTAGTCTAGAACATGAACTACGATATTGAAGCAGTTTGTTTAGTGTAGAGACTTTGTGGGACACAGTCATACACCTTGCAATTATCATCTCAAGCATCTGAAATCGCATCATGTTAAAGAGGAAATTAACTCTCAACAATTCCCAAACTGTTCTGTTTGATTGAAAGCTTTGAAATGTTTCCATGCTCACAAGTATAAATGCAACCATCCAAACATACAGTGGATGAAATGGTTAAAAAGTTATCAGCTTATGTCTAACAAGTGATGGAGGATGACTTTTCTTTATGCAAGTGAGAATTTTGTCTGCCCTTTGTTGTACAGGAACTATGTTTGTTTTCAACACTTACGAAATAGGAAATGATACCATGTGTATTGAAACATCAGCTGTATGGCCTAAAGATATTGAAGTGAGCTGAAGCAAACGCTGTGCTTTGACCTTCCAATTTCAAAGAAAATACTGAGCTCCAGGCTTCAACTTTTCTTGAGGATAAAGGTAATTTTAAAATGTGGAATGAATGAGACTCTTGTTGAAAGTATCTCCACAGGAATGAATGAATTATGGATCGAATAAACTCTCTTGAATCTTAACTTTTAATTTTATACCTGATTACATGCAATTTTGTCGACCTGTCTGAGATAGGAGTTTTCGCTATCAGGTTTTATTTGATGAAAGGATGGTTTGTTCGGTGAAGATAGCTATCTGGACAGCAGTATATGTGTTTATGTGCTTATGTGTAAGACGTGTGTGAAAAAAGGGAGTATTTCTAGATTTGATACTGCTTGATGTGATTTTGTTTACTGAGGACACAGAAATAGTACATGTGTGTCAGAGATTAGTCAAATGGAATGTCACAGTTTGAAATTGAAGGTGTGGGAAAAATGGACATTGATGGTACTACATCGAGGCCAACAGTATACACTTGCAGTAACAACAAAATGATATGTCCTGGAAAACTAATTTAGTCTTAGGACAATGCAGTTATAATGAACAAGTTCCAAAAGCAGCTAAGTTACATTGCCACAATGTCAGAAGAAAGGACATGTTCATCTTCATGATTTCATCAACTTTTAATTGCACAGTTTTCTGTCTTATTCAAAAGTGAAAAATGTCTTCAATTGATTTTGGATAACAATGAATCAATGTCCTTCAAAATATACTGCCAAATTCTGCAGATCCATGTTCATGCTGTTGATCACTGGATTGTATGGTCCAGAGTCGATTATTTACAGACTGCCGCCATAGAGCTGGAATATTGCTGAGCGGGGCTAAACAACAACAATCATTCAAGATAAACCGATCTGAAACCTGCTGATTTGTGGCTTCAGTTGTCAACAATTCTCACATATATACAGTTTCTTATGATAGACATCATGGTCTTTCAGCTTGCCCTATTGGTGAATTGGGGTCAAACAGGATCCCTTATATCCCACTCTGTGTTTCCTACAAGAATCTGAAGAAGCCATTCTATCCCGGAACTCCCACTGGAGGTTGTTTGTGAGGAACATTGTGGATGACATGTTTGTAGTTTACTCTGATTATTGCAGCATGTGACAACTTGCTATCTTCAGTGATGAGTTGTGAAGAATGTTGGCCACTTTCACTTCCTGAAATAAATCTGTTTACTTCACGCTGCTGATGTTGGTGGAAGATGGTATCAGGATCTGCCAATGTGGCGGCAGTGATGGCCCACTCTCATCAACAATAAACACATTTGCAACATGTATTTCAAAAATTAAGAAAAAAGTTTCTTTTTCAAATATTTATGTTTGTTTGATGTGCAAAGTAAGCAGATGAATGGTGATTTTATGAACTGTTAACAGTTTGTGAAATTAG